CGGTAACTAAACTTCGGCTTACTATTACTTTATCGATATTGTGCCATTGATATAGATACTTTTTGCATAACACCCCACATGACACCTTGCATGGCTTTTTCGATACACTAGAGCTCATCCATTTCTGATAAAATGTATGCGGATTCATACAGTAGACGTTAAAAGAAGGAAAATTCTTAAATACGGAAAACTAAGCGACCATGGACGTACTGCAGAGACCAGCAAATAAACCCGACGCCTAACCCACCTCTGGATCCGAATTAGTCTTTAACAAAACCGATTGTGTTGTCCAACTCGGGAATAGAGGTGACTTAAAGTTATTTTTAATTACACACCAATGTGTGATGGGCAGACAGGGCAAACCCCATACTCACGAAGACCGGCTGTTCAGCCATGGAAACCGGCAGTCCAAGCCCTTGGACATGGAGTAGCAAACTACATAAGGCCCCATTAAGTTAGGCGTGGTATTGAACCGGACTATAGCAAAGCTGCTTATCACCAAAGTTTAGCGGGAGTGGTGGGGCTTGAAGCTCGGGCCAAGGAGTCTAAAGCACGCCGATGACAACGACTAAAACACTGAGCCATCACCAATCTAAACTGTACAGTCTACCGTCAGTCGGGCATACTTGTAATTCGTAGAGAGCAGAAAAGTCACTTGGGTGGTTAGCCGTGAACAGATGCGCATTGCTTCACTGAGTAAGCGGTTACAGGTGATCTGCGGCGATTACACACAACGAGACAAGCTTTCGCTCGGAGAGCAACTTCTCAGAAGCGAAAACTCACTAACACTGCAGGAATCATCGTGACTTGTGCAAATCTGTCCGACAGTAAACGCAATCGCCATCATTCTGATGGCATACGTGTAGCACGGAACTTTTTAAGGGCTAGAGGTGTATCCTCGAACAGTAAAGCCGCGTGATACTGGAAATATCAATTTGTAGCATATCCTCAAGATTGCTTACTCGTTCTTCTACGGAGCCGATTATTTTTTTAGTCTACAAGTGAATACAGTAAAAGGGGTAAACCCCCATAATTCAAGGATAATGTTCATAACATGATGAAGGGAACATTCCAGTTACAACCAGCTTTTTTACTTTGAGATCAAAGACCAAGACGGCACAAGATGGAGGTAGAAAACTGGTGTTCAATAGCTCTTCTGGTCTCGCTTGTGTACGGGAACTCAGAACAATCTGTCAAAAAAGAATAAAAAGCTGTATTTTGCTCTGACACTATCGAGCGTGTTCGGATTAAGGCGAGGAAAAGTCACCGAAAACACTCACGTGCGAATTCTACGGGGATGAGTTTGGGTTTGTAGTGTTTCTCCACGCAATGCACCGTATGATGAATAACTTTAAAGACTGATTTCAGCGAGAGAATGATGACAATTAGCTTTCTCAGACGGTTGTTTAACGTATACGGAAATCGTTGTGTGATTAAGCAACGCTCTAAGTCTTCTAGGAACCATCACCATCATCATCATCGTAAAGCGAAATACAGAGAAGCGAACTTCACTAACCGCTGCCAAACTCGCAATCCATACAAGATTAGTGGTAGTGGACCCACTTTGAGGGAGGTCGAAGAAGGTGAACCACTATGGTCAACACAGAGTACGCAATCAAACTCTGTATACATTCCTTTCAAGCGTTCTGGCCTGATAAGAAATGACAACAAGAACGCCACTGCTGTCCGTTCGCTGCCATATCCTTCAATGTCTCTAATCAGCCGGTTGTGGAGTCTTTCGGACTCCAACCTGGAAGGCGATCGACACCTACTCTACCTAAGCGCTCTGTGCATTTCTTCATGCCTCGTCTCCACGTCATCTGTTGACTTCCACGCGGTTTCCTCCAGCCAGGATTAGCTACAGCGAATAAAGCGCGGTGTGGCAGACGATGGTTGGGTATACGCAATACGTGCTCTAGCCAGCGAAGTCTACTAATCTGAATTTGGTGTGCTAGCAGGTTTATACCTGACA